TTTTCAATTTTGGTTCGGTTACAGTCTTAATTCGGTCCGATTTTAGTTTTAGTACAATTCTAAAACTATTTTATGCAATATAGTTTAATTTACTACTCAAATATAACAATTCAATTATTTTAACTTTAGTCATACGGTTTTTTTTTAAAACCGAGCGCATTTAGATTCAATAACAGCTTTTGCAATTGGTTATCTATCACCCTACCTTCATTTAAACTTTTTTATTATCTTCAATGAAGAGGTTGTGGGCACTAGTGAGTGATAAAGGGTGATCCACTTTTCCCCACTTATATTTCATATTATCAAGGTTCTTGGCAAACAACTTTCTTTACTTGTTGAACAAAGGAAGCTGTAGAGTATCACCTCATGTAACATAGTAACTTCTAGTTACTCTTTTTCGTTTATCACTTATCATTTTCTGCGAGGCCACAAGAAGAATTTATAGCTTCATCCATAAGCGTTTTGGAGAGTATTGTAGCAAGTCAGGCCAAAGAATCAGTCCTCTTGGAAGGATCATATTATTTCCTTGATGGGTAAGACCCAGCTACTTAAATTAGTGATTCATGTAATGCTCTTATTTAGCCATTTGCTTTACTCAAATAATTGGACAAATGTATCAGAATTTTTGTGCACTATAAGTATTGATTATATTGCAATTGCCATCATATGTCAAAAAATTCATATAATTCTAAACAAAAGATGGTCTGTTGTAGATTGGTGGCAGAGGATCTGAATAAAAATTTGCATGTAATGATAGATAGAAATCCAAAGCACTTTTGTTGTTGATATATAAAGTATGTATAATATTTTCAAAGTGCTTACAACATGACGGGTCCATAGCTCAGTGGTAGAGCATTTGACTGCAGATCAAGAGGTCACCGGTTCGAACCCGGTTGGGCCCTGTCACAGTTGAACTTTTGGTAACAACCGTTGAGTAATCTTTGTTTTTTCCTTCTTTATTACACTAAAAAAGCAGTTTGCATAACTCTGAATCCTACAGCTGCAAAATATAAGAAAAATATACTCATCACCATTCAAGCACTTTGCAGATTTTAAGTTCAAAACACCAAAAGAAGAGTTATTGCACAGTCGCTAATGTTGTGTTTAGAATATTGTGGATAGTTTAAAATTATTTCTCTGTTGCAGAAATTGATTTTAAGGATTGAATGAAACAATTTATGAGAAGGACTTTGATAACTCCTTTTTTAAAGTGTTTAAGGGATGGTCTGGATGATAATAAGGATTGACTTAGTAAATGATTTGTTGACCCTAATTAACTCTACATAATTATGGAATTAACAACAATGTTTGATGATTATTTGGTACTTCCCCTGTCTTAAAATGATCTCGTTTAAAATTTTTGCACAGCGTAAAAAAAATGTAAGAATGTTGTCAAAAAATATTACATTTCTACTAAGTTAATCTCATAAATGTATTGAAAGTAGTGTATAAATAAAATTAAAAGATAAGGTTGGAAAAATAACAATTATTTTTACATTACAAAGTGATAATGACATTTAAGCAACAATCATTTTAAAACGGAAGGTGTCCTATGATTATGACGTTGATGATAAATGCATGTGAATCCATATTAGATATAAATTACTTTTTCCATCCTATGGGGTGAAGGATCCCCTTTTGGAAATCCGAAAATATTCATGCTAAATTCTACAAGTGCATATTTGGCCGCACCTTAATTACATATTGGCACTTCATAACAAAGTCATTCACCTCATTTTAATAACACAAAAAATGGTTTGAAGATGTATCTTCATATTTTTTGTAGGGTGAGTCGGTAAGTGTATATATGAACTAACCTCTGGAAGTATTTTTAGGTGATGGAATGAGGACTTTGCACAATTTAGTGGGTATTTTGAAATTGCATCTCCAGAAAAATCCTCAGAACATAGAACATTAGTCCTAGATAGCAAGTTTGTCTTAAAATTGATATATTTTTAGGTCAACTTATATTAGGCCATTAATACTATGGATATCATAACATGATACGATTAATTTAATTCAAAGATGTCATATATAAATTCAAACAATAATAATTCAAACATTAATCAATTAATCAAAAAATTTACCGTGATACATAATTTGTTTAGAAAATACAAATAATTCAATTGTTACTGAAATATAAATATAAATATAAATGAACTATTGTGTATATCTAACTCTCTATTTCTCATATGACTTCTAAACTGCAATGCATTTCGTGTCTCGGCTAAGATGGTATGTACATTGACCATACCAGAATTACCTTCCTCAAAATCTCATCTATCTAGGGCATATCTGGCAAGCATCACAATACGCCTAGAGGTCGTCAACATGTCATGGGTGTGATCATCCCCAACTTGCTCCTTATCCAACCAGGAATGGAAGTAACAAGTTCCTCTTGTTGGGCTTCAGAGCTTTAGGGGAAATGTGCCTCTCGAAAGACAATACCAGAGACGTGTGAGCTCGAAAAGTCGACGCTTCCAAATCAAATGAAGTCGCGCCAATTAGTGGTCAAGGGGGTCTGGCTCTCTCCCTGTGAACCAATGCATGTTAGGTCACTTTATCGTACTTCAATCTATCTTGGTTTTCAGCCATTGTGCCTATAGTAAAATGATCAAAATCATATCATAGTAAAAAAAGTAAAACTCATATTACAGATATGTCAAATCAAACAGTTTCATAAGTGTAGAGAAATTACGAAATCCGTCTCTATAATTTGGGAACATCAAAAATTGGAAAATTTTGGAGATGCATTTATGTAAAACTAAAAACGTGAAAATGGCGGAAAAAACACAAACCCAACATGTCATATGTCTTATTCTTCAAAAAATGTGAATCCATGTTTCAGTAAACTACATATTACAATTGTAACTACCTGATAATGTACCTTAAACACCCTATTAACTAATACATGCATAACATCTCAAGAAAAGAAAGTGAGAAGAAACTTACCAAATGTGAGTAGTTGAAAAAGCTTGAATTGATTAACTAGTGCATGCATAACATCCCAAGAAAAGGAGGTGAGAAGAAACTTATCAAATGTAAGTAGTTGAGAAAGCTTGAATTGATTGAAGTTTATGTCCTGGGATTGAATGTAATGAGGTAGAAGTAGTATTCTAACTTAATAATTGACCTAGTTGCAATTTGCTCACAAGCTCTTTTGGTGTTTTGTTGGTGTTTTGAAATTATAACTAATGAATAAGGAAGGGAGAATTCTAGTGTGAGTTATAAGAAACTAAACTTGTCCAAAGATGCATCTCCCTGTATACATGACTGACTTTTAAAATCAGAATTATTACTGAAATGCACTTACGCAGTACCCTAACACTAATACGGAGATACATCTTTTGACTAAATTAGGACTAAATGTAAGTGGCTTACTTAAGATGTATTGAGGTGTGAATTCTAAGTGCGTCCGAAAATGTATATCAAGATTTGAGGGGCATTTATGATTTTTCACTAGGTTGCGCTAGCACCACATGAGAATGCACACAGTAGTCCCCATATCATTATGTTATCTAAGTCACAATATGGACTATGTATGTCTAATAATATTATTTATGGTTGGTTTATTGTAAATGAACTTAAATCACATAATGGGTTGAGTGTCGTTTGAAGATGTTATCGATGACTGCATAGGTGTCCATGTCGTGAGAGTTAGAGTAGATGGCAATATTAAGGTCTTAAAGATTTTGCAAGTAAGAGGATTTTACTTGAAAGTTAGTGATAGAGAAATTTTTAAAATATTAAATTGATAAATAATAATGGTTAAATTAATAAAATAAATGGTCAAAAATTGCAACAGTCTATAATAGAATCAGAGACCCTATAATGATTGAGTGCGTGGTCAAAAGATGAAACCAACATATTAACACAACTTTTCATGAAAATTTTTGTTGTTATTGATATACAATGGTTCGCAAATGGCTATGTTGGAATCAAATGAAACATTGTTTCTTCTCACCGATTGATACAAGTTTTTCTATAAATAGAGATATTTGTTAGGCATAAAATATACACAAAAATTACTTGTTTCAAATGTCAAATATTATATCTAAGTCATTCTTTTATTTTTCTAGTGCACAAAAATAAATAATAAAACTTTATTCTTTAAAATATTGTTGATCGATATGCTTAATGTGAATGTGCGATTCATGTTAAGATTTTCAAAGTATCTTGAAGGAGATTTGTCGGTTAACCCTTTTGCATCCAATTTGTATAAATTGGTGAGAACGAATCGAACCTAAAACTTAGTGTAAACACAAACTTTAGAATTTATTTTGTGCAACCGTATTTTTTTTTTACTTGTTCATATTTTACCGCTGACCCCACAAGATCTACCGGTTAGAACACTGAAGGGTGTTCTTGCCGTATATTGATATATACTTGAATCTAATAGACTCTCTTTTTTCGAAGGCAAAAGGTGGCTTCTCTGTTTGGAGTAGCTTGGAGTAGATTGGATCTACATGACATAGTAGTTGTGTTTCTAGATAGTGTGAATAACTTTACTATACAAAGTGAACAACACCAGATATTACAAAAAGAAAATAATTTATTAGAAGGAAAATGAATATATCAATATCACAAAAGGCAGGTCACAACCAAATTGTTCTTCTGTACAATAAATTACAAGCATAACAATATTTCCCCAACATAAACTCACAGATGAACCATTTACAAACACACCTCTCTTCTAAAAGTCGCTTTCATTCTTCGACTCATAACCGATGACGACGATATCTTCCACCTTTATGCTTCTACTAACATAGAGGCAACTAAACAGAATCCTACTGCAAATAGATACTGTATGCGACTCTAGTCTGTGCAAAAGAATGCTTCTAAGCATGCACAAGTATAAATAAACCTTCATAATGACATTCGTCCAAATAAGGAAGGAACTATAGCCCCATGTACATTTCCGCCCAAACATTGAGAAAAACCAACAGCTTTTTTCTATGTAAAAGTTATATTCAAGATTTGGCTAACCACAACCATCTCAATTAATTTGTGCTCTTATTAGTTTCAAGTGAAGAACCTTCTTTAAGTGCCACTTGGGCATCACTCTCCCTTCCCAGTGCCAAAAGAGCAACAGCTTGTAGATAAAATGCAAGGTGCCAAATAGGAGATATCATTTGTGCCTGCATTGCATCGCCAAGTGCTTCATTTGGCATATTGCTGAAGAGATATGACAGACTACGACGCGCGTAAATTGTTGGAGAAGTCATGGTTCCAACCTCAATAAACTACATTACAGAGCGAAATCATCAGTAATAAAAGCAGTAACAGCAAGTCGTGGTTGCTCCACAAGAGCATAGCAAGTGATTAAATATTACTAACCTGTGTGTAGCCATCGATTGCATTTTTGAAGTCCTTCTGCCGAAAAGCAGCATCTCCTTTCTTCTTTGAATCCAATGTTTGCTGCATCTGGTTGGTCCACATTTGGAACGAAAGCTGTGTGATAGAGATAGATGTAAATAAATACATAAATTAGTGGTCAATAAAAATAGACAATCTAAATGGAATAATTAAAAGCACAAACGCGACGTTGAAAGTTTAGGAAAACCAATCACATTTATTTACAAATTAGAAACAAACCTCAGTAGCTGCGCCCTCATCATCTTTATACCCAATTTTCTCCAGCACCTCATGTAGGGATGTCAGATCTCTGCGTAGACAAGCTTCCCCGAGTGGAGTAAGGGGAAAAGCTGCACTACCATCGGCATCAGGTATACCCATCAGCACATGAGAAGGAACCTATAAAATAAGAATATTCACAGTCCATTCCAGCTTACAAAAATATAGTTTCAGTTCTAGACACACACAAAAACCACTAACGGCCAAAAAACAAGATGTTTATAATATTCTGAAAAATCATTTTGAGTTGTTTAAAATTTTTGAGAATTTTTGTTTTGAAATTATGACAGTTTGGCAAAACTATTCACATTTTACAGTGAGAATGAAAAAGAATATATCTCTGATTGTTTCAACTCTTTCATGCACTCTAAAGGCATCTTACACTAATCCAGTTGTTCCCGTACACCTCAACAAAATAGTATCACTGAAAGAAAACATAGACATATTGTTGACACTGCTCATACCCTTTTGCTATATGTCAATGTACCTCCGAAGTTTTTGGGTGATATTCTTCTTACTGTCGGGTATTTTGGGGGGATGTTCTTCTTACTCTCCTTCTACACATTACACGTCTACGGATGTTACATTCTTTGAGGACATACCATACTTTCCTAACTCAGATGTTCCTACAACTGATTTAGATCAAGTCATGCCTATTCCCTATTCCTTTATCTTTTCGTCCACCAGTTGTGATAGATATGTCCTCTTCAACCAATTTTCCACCACTGTTTAACTAATATGGCATTACCTATGAGAGAAGGTTTGGACCACGTGATTCAACTCATGTTCCAAGTGCCTCCATCTCCTGATTTTCCCATTGCCATCCGTAAAGGTAATCGTTCAACCCGAAACCCTTATCCTATTTATAATTGTGTCTTAACATCAGTTATCTCCTATGTTATGTGCTTCAATTTATGCATTTGCATCTATTTTGTTGTGAATCGGATACCTTTAAACAAAGTATAAACGGTTTCTTAATAATCAAGAAACACACAAGGGTTAGGGTTAACAAAGAAAACAAGGTAAAACAACAAGGATTGGTTATTAAACTGCTATTCTTTCCTTTCTCTTAGAACAAGATTACAAGTATACAAGAATAACAAAATAACCTCTCTCCCTTGAAATTAGAATTTTATCTTCCTATTTTTCCTTATGCCAAGATTGAGAAACTAGCATCCTATTTATAATAAAATAGCACATGCTAACAACCCTAGCAATATTTACTCATGCTAACAACCTTAGCAATATTTACTCATGCTAACAACCTTAGCAATATTTACTCATGCTAACAACCCTAGCAATATTTACTCATGCTAACAACCTTAGCAATATTTACTCATGCTAACAACCTTAGCAATATTTACTCATGCTAACAACCTTAGCAATATTTACTCATGCATGTTAGAACAAACTTCGACTACAACACGCATTACTTGCGAACAGACTTCGACCACACTAGAGTTCGATCCAATGTCTCACAAATCTCCACCTTGGATTTAACTCTATAACATCAAGAAACTAGCTTTCTTCATGCAGATTTATTAACTGCATACAGTGGAAAAACTTGCAACTGGGCAATGTCTTGGTGATCATATCAGCAGCATTATGATCTGTCGAAACTTTCAGCACTTGGACTTCTCCACGCTCGATTACCCCTCTAATGAAATGCAGCCTCACATCAATGTGCTTGGTTCGCTCATGATAGGCTGAATTCTTCGACAGATGTATTGCACTTTGACTATCACATTTAACAGTGATAACTTGACCTTGAAGTTTTAGCTCCTTTGCAAAACCTTCAAGCCACACTGCTTCCTTCACAGCTTCAGTTAGAGCAATATACTCCGCTTCAGTGGTTGATAAGGCAACGGCCTTCTGAAGTGTTGCTTTCCAACTAATTGCTGTCCCAAACATAGTGAACACATATCTGGAGATAGATTTTCTAGAATCCATACAACCTACATAATCAGAGTCGACATATCCTTCGATTACTGCTTTACTATCTTCACCCAAGGCTCCACCATAAATTAGGACTCTATTCAGAGACCCATTTATGTACCTTAAAATCCACTTCAATGCTTGCCAGTGAGCCTTTCTAGGATTCGCCATGTACCTACTTACAAGACTTACTGCATATGCTATGTCGGGTCTAGTACATACCATAGCATACATCAAAGACCAATTTGTCTTCTTTTGATTCCTCATAACTTCCTTATAGTCTATAGGTTCTTCGTCTAGAACCTCACTAGCAGAGATTAAGGCATAAGCTATAAGATCTGCATACCCAAGTCTCTGAGGTGGCTTGATGACTCTCCTCGACCTGTCTCTTGCTAGCAGGTAGTCATTATCAATCTCCTCATCTTCGACAGCATCTTCTGCGTCTTTTTCGACTTCATCTGGGGTAAGCAATTCAGCATCAACATGCTCCACCTCAACAGGAATCTCTCCCTGTTCCAGCTCTTCGTCAGCATCATCAGTTTTCTTGAAAGCCATCTCTGCTTCGTTGAAAACTACATCTCGACTGGTGATACACCTCCTGTGACCTGGCTCTAGGCACCATAGCCTATAAGCTTTGACTCCTTCAGGGTATCCCATGAACATGCATTTCAGAGCTCTAGGTTCGACCTTGTCTTGCCTAATATGAGCATAGGCCACACAGCCAAATACTCTCAGTCTGTCGAGACTAGGTGGATGTCCCGACCAAACTTCTTCAGGTGTCTTCATTCCCAAGGCAGTCGAGGGACATCTATTTATCAGGTAAGCTGCTGTCGAAACAGCTTCCGCCCAAAACACCTTCTTCAATCCAGCACTAACCAACATGCATCTAACCCTTTCAAGGATTGTTCGATTGAATCTCTCAGCTAAGCCATTTTGTTGAGGAGTACCTGCTACAGTCTTATGCCTTGCAATCCCAGACCCAACACAGTAACTGTCGAAAGCTTCGTTGCAGAATTCAAGGCCATTGTCGGTTCTCAACCTCTTAACCTTTCTGCCAGTCTGAGTTTCGACTAGAATCTTCCAACTTTTGAAATTCTCAAAAGTTTCATCCTTCGTCTTCTGAATGAATACCCATAGTTTTCTGGAATAGTCATCAACGATGGATAGAAAATACCTTGCACATGAGTGTGAAGGATTCCTTGCAGGCCCCCAAAGATCAGCATGAATGTAATCCAGAGATCCATGTGTTCTTTGCTTGCCTTTGTTAAACTTCGCCCTACAGGATTTACCAAATACACAAGATTCACAAAATTCCAACTTTTCGACTTTGTCACCTCCTAGCAGGTTCTGCTTCCCCAATTCGACCAGGCCTCTTTCACTGACATGGCCCAATCTCATGTGCCATAATTCTGTCTTCGACATAGATTTCGTGGATGCAACATTTGTCGAACCACTTACAACCTCAGCCTCAAGGGTATACAAGCCTTGTTTCTTCACGCCTCTCAAGACTTCCTTCGACCCCTTCATGACTCTTAGGATACTTTTCTCTCCTTGAAAAACATATCCTTTTCTGTCGAATTCACCAAGAGAAATCAAATTTCTCTTCAAGTCAGGTACGTACCTGACTTCAGTCAATAACCTTATTGACTCATCATGGAGCTTGAATCTCACAGATCCAATACCTGCAATTTTGCAAGATTTGTTGTTTCCTAACAGCACAGATCCACCATCTTGATCACATAGCTCCTCGAACAATTCTCTGTTTGGAGTCATGTGCCAAGTGCAACCTGAATCCATAATCCACTCTTTCCTCGAGTCGCCACTTGAAACCACAAGAACATCACATGAGTCGAAGTCATCTTGAACAATGGCTGCATTGCCATTACCTCCATGATCTTTCAGGCGTTCAGGGCACAACTTTCTTATGTGACCCTCCTTCTTACAGTGGTAACATCGAATACTAGATGTTTCGCCACTATAAGACTTCTGTTGACTTTTACCTTTTTTCTTGTCGAACTTACCATCCTATCGCAAGAATTTTCCCTTAACGGCCAAACCTTCGCCCACCGTCGAAGGTTTATGCTCCTTTCGTTCGTTCAAGTCCTTAGAATACAAGGCTGATTGAACTTCTTCAAAGGTCAGGGACTCCCTTCCATACAAGAGAGTTTCTTTGAAGTGAGCATGTGTTCTGGGCAAAGCACACAACAGCAATAGTGTTTGATCTTCATCATCGATCTTCACATCAATATTTTCAAGATCAAGAATCAGCTTGTTGAATATATCCAACTGCTCAGCCAACACTTTGTCTTCACTCATCTTGAATGAATATAAAGCTTGCTTCAGGTATAGTCGATTCACCAGAGATTTGGTCATGTACAAACTTTCAAGTTTCACCCATAATCCCGATGCTGTAGTCTCCTTTGATACCTGTCGAAGAACCTTATCACCAAGGCTCAACAATATTGTGCTGTGGACTTTCTCGATCATGCCCGTCTTTTCTTTTGCCGTTAACGCAGCGTCCATGGCTGCCTCACCCTTCAACGCTTCCAAACAACCCTGCTGAACCAATAAGGCTTTCATCTTCAAGCGCCACAGACCGAAGTCGTTCACTCCGGTGAACTTTTCAATCTCATACTTTGTTGAAGGCATCTTCTCCACGCTCACCGCACCAATTTGTTGTGAATCGGATGCCTTTAAACAAAGTATAAACAGTTTCTTAATGATCAAGAAACTCACCAAGGTTAGGGTTAATAAAGAAAATAAGGTAAAACACCAAGGAACGACAAGGATTGGTTATTAAACTGTTATTCTTTCCTTTCTCTTAGAACAAGATTACAAGTATACAAGAATAACAAAATAACCTCTCTCCCTTGAAATTAGGATTTTATCTTCCTATTTTTCCTTATGCCAAGATTGAGAAACTAGCATCCTATTTATAATAAAATAGCACATGCTAACAACCTTAGCAATATTTACTCATGCTAACAACCTTAGCAATATTTACTCATGCTAACAACCTTAGCAATATTTACTCATGCATGTTAGAACAAACTTCGACTACAACACGCATTACTTGCGAACAGACTTCGACCACACTAGAGTTCGATCCAATGTCTCACATATTTCTATTCCTAAAACTATTCAGGAAGCACTATCTCATTGAGGGTAGAGGGTGGAAACAAGCAATACTTGATGAATTGTCATCTTTAGAATCTAATCATATTTGGGAGCTTGTTCCTTTTCCTTCTGGAAAATCTATTGTAGGTTGCAAGTGAATATTTAATGTTAAGGATGGTCATGACTCACAGGTAAAGGGATATTTACATGGAGCAACCTGGGTCTATTGCTCAGTGGGAGTGTAATATGCAAATTGAAAAAGTCTTTGTATGGCTTGAAACAATCACCTCGAACATGGTTTAGAAGATTTAGCATAGTGTTGCAGCAATTTAGGATGATCCGTTGTGAATCACATCGTTGTGATTTTACCAAATGCTGCTCATCAAATAAATATATTTATCTAGTTATGTATATTAACGACATTGTGATTACAGGTGATGACTATGAGGCTACCAAGGCTTTGAAACAACACTAATTTTCATAACTTGCAGACTAAGGACTCTTCTTCACTACTTTCTTAGGATTGAGGTAGCTCAATCAAAGCCAAGTATTATTATTTCTCAAAGGAAGTATGTTCTTTATATTTTGGAAGAAGCACGTCTTACTGATTGCAAACCAGTTGAGACTCCTATGGAGCCTAATGTAAAGCTTCTTCCTAATCAGGGGAGCCATATTCTGGTCCAGGTAGATACTAACGACTTGTGAGAAAGTTGAATTACTTTACCATGACTAGACTCAACATATTTTTTCCGGTCAATGTAGTAAGTCAATTCCTCAACTCTCCTTGTGACAACATTGAGATGTTGTTATTTAAATCCTTAAGTACATCAAAGGATCACTTGGAAAAGGACTTATTTTTTGTGAGAGGCAACACTAATATCATTGGATATTCAGCTGTTTATTGGGTCGGAGATGCAAGTGATAGACACTCTACATCGGGTTATTGTATTTTTATTGGTGGAAATTTGATCTCATGGGAGAGAAAAAGAAAATTGTAGTTGTTTGATCAATTACATAAGCTAAGTACTGAGCCACGGCACATGCCACATGTGAGCTCTTGTGGTTAAAGCATTTACTAAAAGAACGACATTTATGTGAAATCGGTCCAATGGAACTTGTATGTGATATCTTGTCAACTTTGTACCTCTCCTCCAATCCAGTTTTTCATGAGAGGAAAAAACATATAGAGGTCGACTGTCGAGATTCCTATGGATCCTAATGTAAAGCTTCTTCCTAATCCGGGGGGCCATATACTCATCCAGGTAGATACTAACGACTTGTAAGAAAGTTGAATTATCTTACCATGACTAGACCCGGCATATTTTTTCCAGTTAGTGTAGTAAGTCAGTTCCTCAACTCTTCTTGTGACAACCATTGAGATGTTATTCGAATCCTTAAGTACATCAAAGGATCACCTAGAAATGGGCTTGTTTTTTGTGATAGAGGCAACACTGATTTCATTGGATATTCAGTTGTTTATTTGACAATAGATGCAAGTGATAGACTCTCTACATCAGGTTATTGTGTTTTTATTGGTGGAAATTTTATCTCATGGAAGAGGGAAAAAAAAAAGCAAATTGTTGTTGTTTGATCATTTACATAAGCTAACTATTGAGCCATTGCCCATGCCACATTAGAGCTCTTGTGGTTAAAGCAATTACTACAAGAACATCATTTTTGTGAAATCGGTCTAGGGAAACTTGTATGTGATATCCAGTCAGCTTTGTACCTCTCCTACAATCAAGTTTTGCATTTGAGGACAAAACATATAGAAGTCGACTGTCACTTTCTTTAGAGAGAAAAATATCACCAGAATCATCACAACCTCCTTTGTCAATTCCAAGGATCAACATGTTGACATCTTTACTAAATCTTCTTGAAGTCCTCGAATTACTTACATATGTGACAAGATGGATGCATATGCTCCACCTTGAGGGGGGAGTGTTGAGATATTATTAGTTCATCTTTCCCATAATTAATGGAATTGATTAGGAGCTTTATATATATATATATATATATATATATATATATATATATATATATATATATATATATATATATATATATATATATATATATATATATATATATATATATGGTTTTGCTAGAATACACCCACTTATTTTTATGAAGGTCTGTTTTACACCCACTTATTTTTATGAAGGTCTGTTTTACACCCGCTTATTTTTATGAAGGTCTGTTTTAGCAAGTTTTAACTAAAAAATGGTTAAATGCCCCTAAGGTGTATGTTACTAAAACACTCCTAAAAAATACGGGAGTGTAAGTTAGCATCTCCTATATGTATTTTCTAAATTACATCTATTTATTTTTTAGAATGAGTGTTAGCAATTAATAACTAAATATTTATAAAATACACTCTAAGGTGCATGTTGCTAAAACACACCTTCATAAAAATAAGTGGGTGTATCCTAGCAAACACACACTCACATATATACACACACAATAAGAAATTCAGTTTCAAGTATAATGGCACCGAATAGAAAAACATCAGTACAAACAAAATTATGAACAGCTCGAAAATCCTACAAAAATCAGCCTTCAAGCATTATTTTAATAGCCTATCGTCATTCAAATTATTAAGTCCAGCTACCATTGTGTCTCAGAAAATGCAGAACCACATCTTAGACATCTAACCTCAGAATCCTTCTGTAAAGGTATTAGAGCAGTGACCAATGACTTCGGATTAGGACGCTCTCGAGGTTCAGATTGTAAACATCGTGAGGCTAGACGAACTAATTCAGTCCCCTCGTCGTCGGAAAATTGTCCTTCTAAACATGAGTCTGTTAGACTCTGAAGGTTCCTGTCCCTGATCAGATCAAGGGCCTGCAAATAAAATATGAAATGCATCTCAGACCAAGGGGACACTAAGCATGGTTTGTGTAACTTTCTATGAAGGAAATAGGCTTACATGACTTGGAGGAATATGTTTTCCACTGAGAAGGTCAAGCAAAAGGGTCCCAAAACTATAAGTTACACTCTCTGGGGTCACTCTACCTGTGTCAACACAGAAAAGGAAGGCAGAATCATTGCCGTCATGTATTTATAATTATGACAAGATATAAAATGAATACAGTGATTGAATCATTTCATAGGAGAATTATTTTCTATTTTCAATTTGAAAGAGTGGTACGAATCCACTACATTCTCATTAAGTTTGTAATGACATATCGAATTATATTTAACCTCTTTATTACAAATACAATAAGATAAAATTAGCAGATCCATGACATTATTCTAAGTTGCATTTCCCAGTGGAAACTTGGGTTCTAAGAAATAATGTCATACTACCCCACAGCTATGATATAGAAACAAGTTTCCCGAGAGTAGAAAATTTTACTATTGTATCAAAAAAAAAAATTAAAATCACTGTACAGACGTTTGATACCGGGCCAAGACAAATAACATAGATGTAATGGTATTTTGTTTGAGGGAGTACCTGTCCTGAGATACTCAGGTGGTGTAAATGCCAAATTTGTACTATAACTTTTCCCATCTCGACTGTTTTTCATCAAACCGAAGCAGGAAAGTTTAGGATTGAAGTCCTGAATAACAAGAAGAAAAAAAAGAATATAAGCATATTTGACATTTACTATTCAGGCTTGGACAACAATTAATTTTATATTTCGATGCTCATAAACTTCTGATTTTTTAGGCATTATTTATTTAAAATTAATTCATAATTGAAGACAAAAACATGGTCAAATACATATAAACACACTGACTTATTAAGGGAATTGAGTTGTCAATATTATATGATATTTATTAATTTTTATGCAATTCAATTGAGTACTTAAATATAGCTTTAGGTAATGAAGCTTTCTAAGATTGCAAATTCTTAAGCACCATCATCCACCACTTTGAGCAATAGATCTCACCGCAAATACAAGAAATGAACTTACATCATCGAAAAGAACTCGGTAAGCATTTAGATCATGATACAGAGCCCGTCCTTTGTTGGTACAATACTCTAGAGCTTGGGCAAGGTATAAAGCAACTCTAAGTCGCATTGCCCATTTCATGGGCTGAGTTTCCCCTGAATAATTGTGTGAAAACTTGTTAAAAGAGAACTCATCATCATATAATCAAAAGAATGAAAGCAACAAGTAATCACAACTAAAGCTCGCCCAAGTAGCATTGAAATGATAAAAAAAAAGAGTGAGAGCGAAGACTTTCTTTTAATTCAAAACAAACTCGATAGCAAACAATTTTTCAAAATCTATCTAGCTATGTGACTTTCAAAAAAATAGCAGAGCCAATGCATGACAAGTTAGTTGTGTACTCACAATGGAACAAGTGCTTTGCCAAAGTATCATTGGACATATATTCTGATACAAGCAACCTCTCATCACCTTCAGAGCAACATCCAAGCAGATTTGCCAATTTTTGGCTCCTTAGCTGACCAACAGCTTTGGCCTCTTCCTGAAAGAGGTGATTGGAGAAGGTTCCTTATCATGCTAATAATGAAAAGCACATTCAAAATCCATAAAACGCACAAAATTTCTTTAACGCACAAAACCTCAATATAAAAGACTAAATAAATAAAAATATATAGTTGTCATTAAAGCCACACATGACTTAGAAGTTAGGAGACATAAAAGCATGTAAAACACTCGAACTGGATTGTTGTACATGTAATTATCATACATACAGCGACACAAACATGCGTGCTTTCTGCAGAACAGACTCAAGTGCACAAAATAAAATACAAATTAATTCAGTGGTTAAAAACGAAAAAGGTGTGTAGACCGACAAGACATTGCACTGTCATTAAGATAATGACAAAACTACAGTGAAAATAACACGAGATAGTGGTTATTAAAATGCAGAAATGCATGAAAGGCAGCAATTAAAACAAGGAAAATGAGGTCATTAAGTCCACAAACGTGATTTAGGAGGGCTTTAAACCATGAAAAAGCACCTGCATTTGAACTGTCTGCGTGTTTATTTATCAATAGATAAAGAATCACAAATGTGCAAAAACAACAAACAAGCATGTATACAACAAACTAATGATTGATTCAGTCTTTCTCATGACCTCTACAGAACATACTTGCATAAAAAACAAAACACTAATTAGATCACTCGTTAAAACCGACCAAAATCCAGTATGTAGAACAAACAATAAATTGTGTATTAAAATACAGAAGCTTGCAAGAAAGTGCATGACTAACACTTATAACAAAGATTCTAAATAACATATCTACATGAATTTCACACATAAGTTTCTGAATGCTTACCAAAAATTGATGGGCATCTGGCCATGCTGATTTGTTGAACCGTTTGATCGCAATTCGCATTTGATTTTCAAGTTTCCCTTTATAAACAACATTTGGAGCCTTTTCTCCGTGCTCAGAAACAATATTTTCTACTGCAAACCCAGAGGTGGCCTTCCTAAGTTGATCAATCGTATATTCACGAAACGACGGCGAGCCATTGCCCTCAATATTATTGTTTTCATTTTCTAAACAAAAAATATAATCACACAATTAACAAATCATTCTCATAGCAGCGACAACATAAATGAGAAGACAATTCAATAACTTACCATCAACATTCGCCTCCGGAACCTGAACACCACCACCACCAACACCACCTTGCTCGCTACCCCAACAGCATGTTGAATACTTTGAGAACTTACAACCCATGCCAACCTTTAACACATTGGAAAAAAAACAACAAAACTTGTAAGTCCAAAAATTCTCAGATTTATCACGAAGTCAGTCCCTCTTGCTTAAAACCTACAAAGACACTCTGAACACGACACCAACATAGCGACACCTGTAATAATTTAAAAAATAAATAAATAAATCGTGATCACTAGGGTCGGTGTCAGGGCCGACACAATCACGTTTTTTCAGAGGTGTCGGTGGTCCATAGCTTAAAATCATGGTTCCTTCAACCTAGAGAAACCTTCAATTTAACATATGCACCATTACCCAATACCCATTACCCACAGAATTTCTTCAAAACATGATTGCCATAGATTCTATTACCAAATTTGGATTTTTTTCAATACCCAACACAATTCACCTCAATTAACAAATTTTTTTTTTTTTAAAATCACAACAATCCACAATTGAATGCTACACAGAAGCTAGTTTGAACAAACCTAGTAAAAAAACAGAAAACAAATAATCACCGACCAAATAAGCAGAATATTCAACCAGCACATAGCAAAATCAAACTTTTCTTTTCAATTCCAGTGGTGAATCTGTGCAGTGCTGTGCCAATTTAACTCAAACATCTTCTTCAAATTGCTTAAATGGAACAATCAAATCAACAATAAAACAAACTTTGAAACAATAATTACAACAGCAACAAAAAAAACAAATTAAAAAAAAAATGCATTAAAAGAACATAAAATCAATTAATAAACCAAAACAAGTTAATAAAAAAAAAATCAAAGATCACAAAGAAGAATTTGAAGAAGAAAAAGAAAAGGGATAAGAAAAGAAGCATTAACCTTAGAGAAGAAAGGGATTCTAAACAGTCAAAAACTCAAAAGAGACAAAGAAAGTGAAAGGACTTTCTGCTGTTTCTTCTTCTGATTTTTCTTCCACTTGTTATATTTATATATACACTTTTTTATAATTATGTTAATTAATGCAACACATTACTTTAACTAACATCTTTAACTATGAATTATTAAAGATTAATTAATAAATAGAAAGTAACACAAAATGTAAAGTTTTGTTCAACTTTGTTACTTATATAAGTCTTCTTTCTACTCTACTGCAACAATGCCTAATGCCAAATTATACACGTTTATGTTTTTGAAAAATAGAATTTACTGGTCGGTATTATAATAAAATATAATAATAAGAAAATAATTTTAAATTGTTTTTTTATTTTGATTAAAATTAATTTTTATTCAATTTTGTTACTGTTATAAGTCTTCTTTCTACCGCAACAATGTCAAATGTCGAATTATACACGTTTATATTTTTAAAAAATAAAATTTATTGGTCGGTATTATAATAAAATATAATAATAAGAGAATAATTTTAAATTGTTTTTTTTTATTTTGATTAAAATTAATTTTTATTCAACTTTGTTATTTGTATAAGTCTTCTTTTTTATGCAAGAATACCAAACGCCGAATTATACACGTTTATGTTTCTGAAAAATAAAATTTACTGGTCGGTATTATAATAAAATATAATAAATAAGAGAATAATTTTGAATTGTTTCTTTTTATTTTGATTAAAATTAATTCTTATTCAACTTTGTTACTTGTATCTTCTTTCTACCACAACAATGTCGAATGCCGAATTATACACGTTTATGTTTCTGAAAAATAAAATTTACTGGTCGGTCTTATAATAAAATATAATAAATAAGAGAATAATTTTGAATTGTTTTTTTTATTTTGATTAAAATTAATTTTTATTCTTTGTTTTTAAAGTTGAGTTTTTGTTTATATTTTATAATTAAATATTTCTATGTGATACAAATCAAATAAAAAAATTTAAGTAGAATTAAGCATTTGTTGGTAGTATAGTGAGTGGTAGAATCCACAATCTTCTTCACCCTGTTAGAATGTAGGTATGTATTTTGTTATATCTTTGTTTTTGTTGGTAGTTATTGGATAAATAATAGATATATAATACATAAATATAATAATGATAATTTACAATTTTATATATATATATATATATATATATATATATATATATATATATATATATATATATATATATATATATATATATATATATATATATATATATATATATATATATATATATATATATATATATTCTTTCATGACATGCATCACTTCAAAAACCATAATTAATACATAAAAAATGAGAAGTATTGTTGTTACAAGATATATTTGTGATGCTATATATATAGTTGATAATATTTTTTGTGATCGAAATAATGTGATTTTGAGAATCTGATAATATTCTTTGTGATTGAAATAATGTGATTTCGAGAATCTGATAATATTTTTTGTGATTGAAATAATGTGATTTCGAGAATCATGGTAATTTTATGAAAATGAGAGAAAATCAATTGTGTGTGATATATCTAATATGAAAAAACAATAGTAATGATATTTGAACTTAATAATATATTACTTATGTTTATATCCTCTATTTAATAGATACTTGTAACACTTAAATTTTTAATTTAAAAAGAAATAAGAAATGCGTATTATGTTTATATCACAAATGTTTGTTCAAAGCATGATTTTAGTTCTAGAGATTTTGAAAAAGGAAATAATATTGTTGATCTAGAGTTTCTCTTTTTTCGTTCGTGCTATCTTCATTATTTTAGGAAATTATGGATGTTCTTTTTTATTTTCTTGAAATTGTCTTTATTCCTTCTATTTCTCTACTGGCAAAAAAGATTTTACTAAAGGCTGACAAATCCTTCGCAGATGTAGTCAATAATAACATTTGTGACATTTCATAGAGTTAACTATTGATTCATTGTCTCAAAGGGGACATATTGATCATCATAATACCAGAAGAGTAATACAAGCTAGGAGTTAAAACTTGCAAGCATCATCTTCACGGTAGAATAATCTGGTCCAAAGAGTCTACCCCTCTCAAAGTGGTTAACTTGAGGCTCAAGATAATAAGTTATGGTCTTCAATTGTAAAATGGGGGTTACATTGTTACGGAAAGGATTATTCGAGTTCTCTTTTTCCTCTTTGGACGATGTTCATAGGGTTGGATCTATTAATGTTTGGAATCTGAATTAGGGAGTGTTAAAGTTATTCCCTTGGACTAGAGATTTTTTACCATTCACATTGAAGCAAGTTTCTGCTCAAGTATGGATTAGAATCCATTGTCTTTCCTAAGAATACTAGAGACCAAAGATTATATTTGCAATCACAATCCCTCATATGTATTGAATCGGCCTCCAACAAGCCAAAATTTGATATACCTTTTGAACATTTTGTTAGGGTTCTGGTAGATCTAGACCTAACCAAAGATTTCAATTATAAGATATTGGTAGAAAGAGTAGGGTTTGCTTTCTTTGAGGATATAGAATATGAAAAGGTGTCTAAATTTTGTACATTTTGCACTTGTATAGGTCACTCGATTGGAAGTTGTGAAAGGAATGATCGATAGTTGGAAAAGAATTTGGATCATATTAATCTTAAACCAAAGGCATAGACTCAATCTATGTATATGCCTATTAGAAAGAAATTTGTGAATGAAGATATGGACAAAGTTTCCTCGGATAAGAAGAAACATAAGGAATTTCTTGTTAACACTCAGAGGGGAGGAAATAATGGGGGGGACAAAGGTAATGCATTGCCATTAAATGGTACTTAAAATATCATTGAAGTAAGGGAAAGTGATGATAGCAGTGACAGTGAATTTGTAGGTGTCACGCAGATGGTAGAAAATATCTTTGAAACACAGGCTATAGTGGAGTATGATAAAGAAAATGCTAAAGACGTTTTTGAAAAATATTAGACCAATATGCCTGATCTGACTGAAGGAGAAAATCAAGATGAAGGTACTTCTCTAGAATATGGATTTAAGTTGGTAACTTCGAAGAAAAGAAACAAAAAACAAAACTCAAAAGATATAACAAATATTATATTAATGTCTAGCCTCTCAAAATCTTCCTCACGAAGTGTTTATATTGGAACATCATAGGTGTTGTCGGTATATCTTCTAGATTGAATATAAAGAGATTGATCAAATCCAATAAACTAAACCTAGTTCTTATAGATAAACCTTGGATGGATTTCAGTAATTTTCCTGAACAATGGCTCGACCAACTAGACCTTAAATTTTTGCAATGAATAATAGGCCTGAATTGCTTCCCAACCTATGGTTCTTGTGATAAAATCATTTGGATCCCAATTTGCTTTTTTATGATGATTAATATGTCGCATACTTTGTTAAAGCTCAAAATAAAAATTTTGGTTTCTTAACCATCTGTGATTCCATCAATTACTTGCATAGAAGATCTTTGTTGAATAACTTGATTCCTCTTAATACAAACACTCTCTGGTGATTTATTAGAGACTACAATACTATTATTAGTGAATAAGAATGCAAAGGTCATCATGATCCATCTAAGATTCTCATTCATTGGTCATATTGTAATCATCTCATTCATATCCCCACTTATACTCTAATCAATGGTAGAAAGAGGTGAGCCTTAATTGAGAAACGGCTTGATAGGAATATTTTCGATGTGGAGTGGCTTGACATGCGTTTTACTATGGTCTCTAATACTCTCACAAAGTTTAAATCAGACTACTACCTTATCCTTTTAACTTTTGACTTAGAGAAAGCTAAGTACATATCTCAGTTTAAATTCTTAAAGATGTGGTATTTGCATGAGGATTGCCTTAGTCTCATATCTAATACTTGGAATACTAGAATTTCTATTTGCCTCGTCTACATTTTAAACAAGAAGGTGAGAATTTTGAAAAGCAAGGCTACAAAGTGGAACAAAAGTAGTTTTTAGAAATGGTCATATTATAGTGAACGATGTTGAATTGAAGATTAAGAATATTCAATCAGAGATTGAGATTCAAGGTCAAATAGATATTCTTCATAAGGAAGGAAGAAGAGCTCAAGATAGTCTAGAAGTTGTCATCAACTTAGAAGAAATGTTTTGGAAATAGAAAGTTATACTGAATTGGAATATTTTTGGTGATAGGAAT